TTGAATTTGTTTTCGAATTCAATTTTTTTTTTCAAATCACATTTTGGCCAAATTTAATTTCGTTATTTCGGATGCGTTTTAAATTCATTATGTTTGTAATCTGGAATTCTGATACATCTGAATCTCCGACTAACAAAAAAATTTGTCCGAAATTCGATTTGGAATAAAACGAACTACAGGTCTAGTTCTCATTTCTATTACTATTCACCTCTGCCTATATATGTGTTAAGCTATAGGCACATGTGATTGTATTCCTCTTGTGTTCTGCTGTTAATAATTGTTCAAACTATTGGTGCAAATGTAATGATCATGGCATACACGTTCATGCTGGTAGCAGCCCGTTATGGATCTTTATGCACATTGAACAGATATCCTAGTGTTAGTCCTTATCTTGGAGCAACAATAGCACTTGTAGAAAGAACAAATCTACCCAGAGATTGGCTGACAAGGGGTATCAGCAGATGTTGCATATGATTATATCCTCATCTGACAGTAATCTGCTGGACTGGATAATAGTCAGCTTATATTTTCCAGGAATCTTTACACTTTCCAAAGCATCAGGTGGTTTATCTTGAGTATGAAAGACAAGTATCCCAGGTATATACAGCTTCTTGATCTTTATTTGCAGTTCTATTATGTTTTAGAGCTTTTGATTATCTTACATTCTTTCATTCCCAAATTAAAGCTGAACTCCATGCAGAGACACAAATTAATGCAGCTCTGTATCCATTAATGCAGGGGTCTCCAAACTTTCCAGACAAAGGGCCAGTTTACGTTCCTTCAGTCTTTTGGGGGGGGCTGGATTGTGGCCAGTGGGGGTAGAAAATGTTCTAGGCTGAGCATTGATGAGCGTAAGCAATGCCTCAGGTGTGGTGTTCAGTTGCATAGTGCCTGTGGTCAGTAGGATAAGGAACAGTGCCCCGTCATTGGTATCACTGGGATGAACAGTGCCCCGTCATTGGTATCACTGGGATGAACAGTGCCCCGTCATTGGTATCACTGGGATGAACAGTGCCCCGTCACTGATATCAGTGGGAGGAATAGTACCCCATCACTGGTATCACTGAGATGAATAGTGCCCCATCATTGCTATCAGTGAGAGGAATAGTGCCCCATCATTGCTATCAGTGGGAGGAATAGAGCCGCATCATTGCTATTAGTGGGAGGATTAGTGCCCCATCATTGATATCAGTGGGAGGAATGGTGCCCCATCATTGCTATCAGTGGGAGGAATGTGCCCCATCATTGCTATCAGTATTAGTGCCCCATCATTGCTATCAGTGGGAGAATTAGGGGAGGAATAGTGCTCTATCATCACTGAGTGCCCCATCATTGCTATCAGTGGGAGGAATAGAGCCATCATTGCATCAGTGGGAGGATTAGTCCCCATCATTGCTATCAGTGGGAGAATTATGCCCCATCGTTGGTGAAGAATTAGTGCCCCATCATTGCTATTAGTGGGAGGATTAGTGCCCCATCATTGATATCAGTGGGAGGATTAGTGCCCCATCATTGATATCAGTGGGAGGATTAGTGCCCCATCATTGATATCAGTGGGAGGAATAGTGCCCCATCATTGATATCAGTGGGAGGAATGGTGCCCCATCATTGATATCAGTGGGAGAATGTGCCCCATCATTGCTATCAGTGGGAGAATTAGTGCCCCATCATTGATATCAGTGGGAGGAATGTGCCACATCATTGATATTGGTGGGAGGAATAGTGCCCCATCATTGATATCAGTGGGAGATGAATAGTGCCCCATCATTGCTATCAGTGGGAGGAATAGAGCTGCATCATTGCTATCAGTGGGGAGGATTAGTGCCCCATCATTGCTATCAGTGGGAGAATTAGTGCCCCATCGTTGCTATCAGTGGAAGAATTAGTGCCCCATCATTGCTATTATTTAGTGCCCCATCATTGATATCAGTGGGAGGAGTGCCCCATCATTGATATCAGTGGGGGAGGATTAGGCCCCAGTGAATAGTGCCCCATCATTGATATCAGTGGGAGGATTAGCGCCCCATCATTGATATCAGTGGGAGGAATGTGCCCCATCATTGATATCAGTGGGAGGAATTAGTGCCCCATCATTGATATCAGTGGGAGGAATGGTGCCCCATCATTGATATCAGTGGGAGGAATGGTGCCCCATCATTGCTATTAGTGGGAGAATTAGTGCCCCCATCATTGATATCATCAGTGGGGAGGAATAGTGCCCCATCATTGATATTGGTGGGAGGAATAGTGCCCCATCATTGATGTCAGTGGGAGGAATAGTGCCCCATCATTGATATCAGTGGGAGGATTATTGCCCCATCATTGCTGTTAGTTGGACAAATTATGCCCCACTGTTGGTGTCAGTGTTAAGAACAGTTCCTCAAATCAGTGGGAGGAATAGTGCCCTAAGCGTTGGGCTGGCAAAGGGCCACATCTGGCCCTGGGGCCGCAGTTTGGAGACCACTGCATTAATGTGTTATTGCATGTATTTTTTTTTAAATGCAGCTAGTGTAAGTACCTAACTTAACTTTATATCAGTGAGTTGAACTCCCCTGTATAGCCGGCCATACACGGGTCGAATTCCGAACAAATTTTCTTTCAAAAATTGCAACTAAGTATTTTTGTTCAAATTTCACACCATTAGTGGGCCACAGCAATGGCAGATTTTTGTGCTGCCATCGAATTTGAGTGATCAGGCATGTTGGAAATTTTTTTAAAAACTAATGGATTTCTCATTAATGATGAGAGAATCATGCGAGAAATATTATCGAAAAATAAATCAGCATGAGCTATCGCCTGGAAAGAAGAGAAGATTCCCAGCCATGACATTTCTTTTCTGTAGCAGCACGAGGTGAAATTGAAAGCTTGGTTGGTCGAATTTTGAAATCAATGGTGGCACCATCGTATTACAAAATGCACAAAATGTTCGATTTTCTAAAGAAAATTAGTTCAGAATTCAACCCATGTATGGCCTGCATATAGCAGCATTCAGATTGAGAGAGAAGGGGGCAGCACTGAATGTAAATGTGCTCGTAAGGACATGCTGATAGGTGGAGAGAGCAAGGCGAGCAGGAGGATGATTTTATCTGTCTGCTGATACTCTTTCATGGTTCAGTCAGCCAGCAGACGGCAGGGTAGGGGGGATGGGGTTCATCACCACAGTAATCCTTAAAGTCCAAATCTAGGAAATTTGAAAATCCTCAAATGTTAACTGCTTGTTCATTTTAGGGTAAAGTAAAAGGACTTCCCCTGGCAGAGTGTGTTCCCCCATGCTCTGGTAGTGGATTTTTTCCCTAGACATCATCATGTCCAGTGCAGGGCTATGGACCCTGTATTGGTCTAAATTATGCCAGTACCTTAGACCACTGGAGCATGGGAAGAAGATGTTGTGAGGACTGGCCTTGCAGCATGGAGGAGTGGATGATGTGAATGAGCAGTTAACCCCAGCTTTGCAGATGCAGCCCCACTGCAAAGGAGAAATTTAAAGCTTCCTGGTGTTGGGCTATACACTCACCGGTCACTTTAATAGGTACACCTGTTCAATTGCTTATTGCTAATCAGCCAATCACATGGCAGCAACTCCATGCAGTCAGGCATCTAGATGTAGTGAAGACAACTTGCTGAAGTTCAAACTGAAAATGGGAAAGAAAGGGGATTTAAGTGACTTTGAACGTGGCATGGTTGTTGGTGACAGATGGGCTGGTCTGAGTATTTCAAAGGAGGTTAGAGGAGAATGGACAGACTGGTTGCTGCGACATTCAGATGGTAGGGTCAGAATTTGGCGTAAACAACATGAAAGCATGGATCCATCCTGCCTTGTATCAACGGTTCAGGCTGGTGGTGGTGGTGTAATGGTGTGGGGGAGATTTTCTTGGCACTAGCAAGGTGTACCTAATAAAGTGGCCGGTGAGTGTATCTGTCACAGAGAAAATGACATCTACCTGGCTGTACTGTGTGATGGGGCTGTGTAGATCTCAACATTGGACAGACAGAAATATGAATCATTTTACAATATTGTCCATATATGTATTTCATCTGCGTTTTTAGGTGTTTGCCTGGAATTCAGCTTTAATTTTCCCTCCCTGTTGTTAAAATTTAATACATAAAATAGTAATAAAGGTCTTTTTGTAAAAAAAAATAAAATCATAAGCAAGTGCCTCAGGTAAGGTGTAAAGGTCTAGTTTTGGTCCTGGTCAATAATAAAACAGAGCATAGTGACCATACTTACCTTTCCATACTACATTTTGCGTGATAACCACATAATTTTTTGTGTTTTTTTTTTTTTTTACTGGCCAAGCATTGTTAGAGTTAAAATAACTATAAAAATAATTTATGTCATGCTTGGAAGTAATAGGCCTCTACCATGTAATATAGTATCTGAAATGAAAACATCTTATAACAGCCTGGAAGATCACCTTGTCTACAGATTTACATGTAAAATAATATAAAAAATATAACAAAAGCCAGCTTTTGCAAGGTCCATAAAGATCACATTTCTTATGCAGATTCATTCTTATCGTCTCTCTTTTTTAATGACCCGGGGCAAGCACTGTTCACACTAACAAAGGCAAGAGGGTTCGAGTCACACTGGACAGGTCATTAGAATGAGGATGGTGTTGTATGGAAGTCTTCATCTGTTTGCTAGACATCTGAAAAAGAAGAACTTTTTATTATATTATTTGTTACTGTCACAGAAGAAAAAAGAAATACAAAATGAATGTTAGCAAGTTTTAAATAAACAGCCGTCTCCTGGATAGCTGCGTTGTCGGACAACCATGGATGGAAGAGTGGTGCCTTGTACAAACTCACAGCTATCCTTGGCAGCATAAACCCCTTACATTTTGATAATGAATGTTAGACTTGTGGATACCCTCTCTATAAATGTGACTATACTGTAAAAATTAGTTCACACTGATTAATAAAGGACTTTTTGTTTCCTTTTAGTCCAGTATAACCTGTCTGGATTTACTATCTTATTGTACGTACATGAAGTTCAGGTTTTATCTTTTTCTGTCTTCCTCCTCCTCTTCCTCTTCATCTTCTGTTTCTTCTTCCTTTTTCGGCTTGGTCACCTTTGGTAAGGCTAAATTACTTTCTATATCCAGAACCTGCAATTTATCCAGTCCATAGAAAGCACTTTCTGTTACAGCTTCAGGAGTTAGCAGGTTGAACCTAAGAAAGATACAAAAAAAAATTTCAATATTTTGAGAATTTTTAAATGTACATTGCCTCTTTTGTTTGGCTTCTAAGACCGCATGCACACTGGGTGTTTAGCCTTTGTGGATGAAATTCATTTTCGTGAGGGTGGAAAGCACAGGAATACCGTCCAGCCTCACTGCTGACAGCCTGTAAAGCCTCGTACACAAGAGAATATTGGCCGAAAAATACTACTTTCGGAGCAATCGTCTGAGCCGATCACAACAGTTCATGTGAAAATATCCACATTGACAAGCATGGAAAATGTTCTCGTACGATACCAGAACAAATGATTTTCGCTTATTCAGTACAGTATTTGTCCCTAAAAAATCGTGACCAAGACTGAGCAAGCTCGGAAATGAAAGAATATAATACAATTTATTACTTCTGAAGTTGTATTCTGTCCTATGAGAGTTTGTGTAACTTTAGTAACCTCTTCCTTTTTGATTTGAGACTAGCATGCAAAAAAAAAAGGACAATAATTTGTCCGATATATCTCATTGTGTGTACTAGGCTTTAAAATCTATGAGTGGCTGAAAGCTGCTGCGGCTGAATGTGGCTGGATGGTGAACCTATCAGTAGTTAGTTTTAGTGCAGTATGCGCCCAGGTACGAATGCCCAGAAAGCAGACTGCTATCGTTCAAATAATTCTCTGAGCTCATACTGCCCTAAGTGTAAGTACCGCTAGGTGCACCGACCACCCTCTTTCAGCCGCAGCAGCTGTCAGCCTCTCAGAGAGTTTTACAGTCATTCGCCAGTGGGGTTGAGACTAACATGCAAAAAAAAAGTACAATAATTCGTCCGATATTCTCATTGTGTGTACTAGGCTTTAAACATACAATATATACAATAGAAATGTTAGTTTATGTTACCTGAGGAAGATCCCTTTTATATTAGGGATGGATTCGAAGGCACTGTCAGACAATGTGGCAATCCTGTTGCTCTGTAGGTAGAGGTACTCAAGGGTCTCGGGCAGGTCCGGTGGGACATGAGACAGCTGATTTGTTGACACATCAAGCAGCTGCAAGACATGTTTTATGCATGTATCAGCCTTGGTTACATTTTCTACTTCAGATAAGATAATTCTAGCTTTTACATCTCGATCATCCATACACTGTACAGTTGAAAGGTCAATCCTGAAATTTTAGTGCACTAGTGCTCACCTCCAAACACAGAGTCTCCAAAGGCAAATTTCCCCAGAAGTAGGTTTCCAAGGCATTTCATTCAGCATCCCCCAGTTTTTTTCTTTTCTATATTATGGGGAATCCATTCCAGTAGTGTCACCCCATCATTTGACTTTTAACCCTTTCATGACCAGGGGTCATTGAAACCTGGATGCCTAGGCCAAATTTAGCAGTTTTGGTATGCATTGGATAAACTCACAATACCCCTGTGACTGTTTTGATTACCAAAATACCTACATTGCTTTATGTTAAACTCCTACCACTTATATAACGCATTTGTTTGGCAGCAAAAAAGTTGGGCTTTAATGCCCACATGGCACACATATGCTTCCATGGACGGCAGGTATCTGTCCTGAGAGTATGTTCCCAGAAAAGTGACTGAGCTGTCATAAACAGTTCCATGGTCTCTCGTTTTGATTAGGAGCAAGTGGAGCAGGGTCTCAATCATGTGACCACAGTAACAGTGTGACAGTGATGAGAAAATCCATCCTGCACATATAGACCCACTTAAAAGGATTCTGGAGCTGGGGGGCAAGCTGCTATTAATGAGTGTTTTTAAGAATACAGAAGCACCATCAGGATGTGACCAATAACCACAACTGTACAGTAGGTGAAACCTGATGACCAAACTGCCTTACCTGGAGACTGCTGAGCTCTGCCCAGGCCCCTGTATAAATAGAGTTGATCTTAAGTTTATTGAAGCTTAAGTACAGTTCTTTCAGCTTTGACATCCCAGCCAGTGTGTCTTGTGGTATGGAGCTAATTTCATTTTCTTTCAGTTTAAGGATCTCCAAGTTTTTTGGAAGCCCGTATGGAACAGATTTTAATTTATTGCCCGACATGTCCAAAGTTTTTAGGAGCCTCAGTTTACGGAATGCCTCCTTATGTACTGAGCTACTCATGATCTTATTATAGCTTAGATTCAGGTCCTCAATAAAATAAGTGGAGTTGAAGTCATCCTTGGAGATACCAGTGATTTGGTTGTGAAGAAGCATCAGTGTCTTGACCCTGCGAGGAAGTCCTCCAGGTACCTTCTCCAGCAAGTTGTTGTACATATGAAGAGTGTGTAGCTTCTTTAAACCCTGAAAAGCTGATGAATGGATGCCCCGAGCCCTCAGCCTGTTGTTATGGAGCAAAAGATACTCCAAGTTTTTAATCTGCGTTAAAACATCATCCGCTATAGACCGAATGTTATTTTTTTCCAAATGAAGTAGGACAATGTTGCGGGGTAGCCCACTGGGAATGTGAGTCAGGTCATTGCTCGATAGATCTAGATATTCAAGTCTGGACAGCTTCCTGAAGAAGAAAAAGATTTAAAGGTAAAAAACAGAGCCCATATTACTGCAAGCAAAGATCAGCTTGGGCAAGGATATTTTCATTGGAACTTTGGTCAAACAGCTACAGTATATACGTATTTTAAATACTTACAGTATGTAACACTATCCCCTTAGGGATTGCTGATGAATTTGGGTCCCCTTATAGTCCTGCACAGCCAGTCATTTGGAATTTCCCACACAAGCTTACCACCCCATACCCTAGATGAACTCCTCTTCACCCAGCAATCTGGAGACTTTTCCCGAGCAGGGGATCTGGCTCCTGTTCTTTTTAATTGAGGTGAACAGTCACTAATAGGGGGTTAATCTGGTTTCCCACCAGAGTGCTCCTTCCCCTATCTGCCCATGGGTGCAGGTGTACTCATTCAGATCCTCTCCTGTATCGCTTGTGGGATGGCTGCTGTTACCAGTCCTATCAGCTTGGCTGCTCCTTCCCTGCCATACAGGTGGTCCTCTCTCTGGGGGCCAGTGAGTTCCGAGTTTTCCTTCTTTCCAGCTCCAGGCTTGCAGGCAGGCTCGAGCTCACTTGGCCTCCTGGCAGCGTTCCCCCTCCAGCTTCACATCTTCCTCCACTTCTCTACACCTCTCCCACCACCACACTCCTGCTACTGAGCAGGCTACAACACTTTTTAACACTTGTCATGGCTTCTGTTGGACTCTTGAGGTCCCTCAAGAGTCCAACCAGCCTCTCCTCAGATCCCTTCACTGCCTCCAAGGCCCTCCTCTGAAAGCCTCAGAGCAGGGGGAAATTCCAGAGGGGCTGACTTGCGGAGCCTCTCAGCACTGACCACAATTTGACCCCTCTGGCTATCACACCTGAGCTGTTAACCAGATTCTGTCTAACCATTGAGGTCTAGCTCCCCCTTAGCTGCACTACACTTATATATGAACTTTGAATAGACCTGGTTTTCTATTCCTAAAGCAACCTTTAGTACCTATAGGAGCCTCTTTCTGTTGGGATCACACAACTTTTCCTTGTCTTATTGGTCTTGCCTTACAATACTAAGGGGCTTGTTTATAACAGGCACTGCTTTCTGTTACACTCTACAGGGTTACTCCATACTTGCAAACTGTAGCCAATTAAAAAAATGCAGGTCATGGTATAGAGTCTACAGTGTCCTACAGAGATAGGAGTGAGAAATACAGTTATCATGACTATATCAGCTATCGTGATTGTGCGGAGTGATGTCAAATGGAGGGATTTTAGTAAAATTATCAATTTTACCATGATTTCCTAGAATCAGAACTCACTGTTAAATTGAAATTTGCTTGAGAAAAATGTTTTTTCTTTTTTTTTAAATTTAGGGCCATTAAATTTACTTAATTTAATACACTTTGCATGTGTGTTTTTCCCATTATGGTGTATTTGATTAATATTTCACTGAAGTGCTAAATATTTTCTACTGTTTGTTTTTTTAATTTCTAATTAGACTAATGAAGGGCCACTTTTGGCAAAGAAACAGGTCCAAGATGGTTGAAAGGAGCCTCTGTAACCCTCAGGAGTCATGTAAGGCCAATTGCATCCTTACAAACCACCTCATACTTTGTCTTATTCTTTGATCCAACTGCATTTTACCACAATGGTACATTTTGCTGTAATCCCCGATTTTTTGACAATATTTCAGGGGTAATAAAATGGTATTTGCACCACAATGTTTCTAAACAACATTTCCATTTGAAATGGAAAAAGAAGCCAAAATAGGAAATTCTGGAGATGGCAGGATTGCCTCCTGAACACCTAGAAGTTATTCCTCTGCTGCCTTCTGAAAAGCAATCACCGCTGATCCATTTTCAGAGGGTGGTAGAAATTACTGCCAGTGTCAGAGTCCTAATACCAGTCTGGAGACTGCTGACTATTTGATCTCTTTAGGAGCTATTGCTGTTAAAGAACCTTCATTAGGTAAAACGCTTCTGGGCATGTCAGATGCCGATCCTCTGTTGCAATCTGTATTTCTATCCCCTTCTTCATCACTCTAAGGTAGAGGCTTGAGTGTTAAATGACACAGCAAAGCAGAGGATGGGGCTTTCTGCATGTCCCTTATTGTTCTTAATATAAAGGAAGTCTTGTATTCATAACTACAGATAAAGCATTTTTCCATTGAGGATTGATCGTTGTCTCACCCAAATGTCTCATTGTTCATCCCATCATTGGTCAGGAGATTGTGCTGCAGGTAAAGTTCACGCAAACCAAATAGATGACTAAATGCTCCTTCTGGAATCTTTTCCAGCTTATTGTTCTGCAAGATACAAGAATATTATGCTTGTGTTGTGTGTTACATGCTAATCGAAGAAATGAGCCAAACAGTTTTTTTTTATATACTTGAAACAGCTAAATGCAAAACTTTTCCCTTAGTTTGGACAGAGTGGAAAGGAATTAGTGGAGCTGGTGCCTAGGTTAGGGAGATTCACCTTCTCTATTTGTCCTATTTACTGTTATTGCAGAGAGTGAAAGAGAAAGAAACGCATACATTTTGGGTTGGCCCCAGAACAGTAATCAAGTGAAAATATTCCACTGGGGACACTAGTTCTGGTGACAATCAAGGATTCCCCCACTTTGATGGTATTTCCTCCCACTTACTATTTTTGCAATGGTAAAGAAAGTAAAGAAGTCACAATTTGGCAAAATTGGCAAAAAAATTTGACTAGGATGTTCCTTTTCTCTTATCAGTTGTTGTTTTTGGTGTGTTATATATTTAGACTTCAATAAAAAATATAGTATTTGACTACCAAAAATGCCAAACTACACTAAACCCTTCTTCCAATCTGTCTATTGTTGCATCCATTATTTTGAAAACCCAATATAAAAGAAAGCAATGGTGAGTAAAAGCTCTTGTTGGTTTACTGATCATTTTTTCTGCATGAATTCTCTATGGTCTTCGTGAATGGGGACGTGGCAGGGGAATGTCCATTACATCCAAATTTTATGCTAAACGGTGTCCCTCTTTCTCAGCTCAGAAAGCTGGAAGGAATTGTCTAGTACAGTGTTTCTCAACCTTTTTTTAAATCAAGGCACACTTTCAAATTATGCCAGGTACCCCCTTCTAAAATGTAAAAAACTAAACTAAACTAATGGTTTTAAATAATGCAGCAGCATCCACATATGTAGGACACCCAACATTAGAGTTCATTTGTTCTTACGAAGCACATACACTTTTGCACACTGGTACTGATTCTCTCCCCCATTCAACTAACATGACCCCAGTGCTGATGCAGAGGAGCAAGGAGGGGGAAACAAGATGCTATGTAGGCGCCAAACGTCCTCTTTATCAACCAATGATGTCATTAGTTGTTGGGATGCCAGTGGCTGGCCCTTACAGTGTCCAAGGTTGTAATGCTGCACAATAAAAACCTGTGGCTTTGTGTAACAAAAAAGCTGTCTTGATCCACCCGCTGGCTTGTTAACGATTTGGTCAATTTGGGGCAATTTTTAGGTGTTTTGCCGAGGCACCCCTGAAGAACCCAGTAGGCATCCTGGTTTAAAAGGGCTGGTCTAGTATGCCTACTTCCTCTATTAGATAGTCAGACACATGGGGGGAGGTTTACTATAACTGGAGCACTCAGAATCTGGATGGTGCTTGGTAGCATCAGCTTCTAACTTCAGCTTGTTCCAAGTCCTTCTATATCACACCATAGCTACCCTTCCTAACACCATAGCTACCCTTCCCAACGTATACTAAGAAATGACCAAAGATCCGAGAATAAATTGGCCAATTTGGCCGTTTATTAACACATAAACCAAAATAACATTCCTTAAAACAGGAAAACATACATGAACCATTTGCCATACCGGTTGCTGGTCTTGGGAGGCACTTGAGAACCAACATCAGGTTGTGTATCTGTGTATCTTACTACATCACAATCCCCAGCCGCAAAACACCGGCTTGGGGTCAAACCCACTTTTCTGCAGATACCAACTTGTTACCACTTCCAAAATAATACCCCATTAACTGGAATCCAACTGAGGACGCTATACCTTAGATGGGTCACTGCTATGAACTGCTCCGAAATGCTAACGCCTCCAAAGACCCCAACCGCCACAGCTCACAGGTGTGACCAGGGGCAGACTGACAACTCATGGGGCCCCCTGGGCAATAGGGGATTATGGGGCCCCTGTGTCCTTGCCCAAACTCAAAAAAGCCTATGAAAAAGGTACAAGGGGCATCTAATGGGGCCCCCTACTGACCCCAGGCCCTTGGGCAGTGCCCGAGTTTCCAAATGGTCAGTCCGCCCCTGGGTGTGACACCTTACACCTGAGAACCCTGCCACCAACGCAGAGCCCGCTGAACCCCATCCTGAATGCCCAAAAACCACAATTCCGTGCCCGCCGCATTCAAGTGTACCCCATTGCTCCAGAGATACCGCCAGGTATCCGCCTCAAGGTCCCAACACTGAACAACAAAATCCCCATTGCGCACCACAAAAAATGGGCCAACTTCCTTTTAACCTTGATCCATGCCTTATTCAACTGCTTAACAGACCGAGCAAAATGCCACGACGTGCGACCAACAATCTCGGACCAAATTACCACCAGGTCTTGGAAAGTAGTGCTCAGTCGGAGAAAATCATACTTAATCTTCCGGATGAGATGCCGCATGGAGCGAATCCCCAGGTCGTTACCACCAGCATGCAAAATCACTATATCTGGGGCCCTGTCCAGCCAACTGAAACGATGCAATTCCAGAAGGACCTTGCACCATAGCAAGTCCGGAACACCTATCCACCTAACCAAGACCTCTGACCTAGAAAAACCCAACTGCCGCCCATTAAGCTGGCCATCCGCCCTCTTAGCCCCCCAAAAAACAGAGGAGTTTCCCAAAATCCAAACGAGGCAAAAAGTAACATCAAAACAAATCAAGACAAGAAACAAATAAAAGAAAACAGGACACCTGGCAACACAGAGGACTGACAAAAACACGTAAACAAGAAAGAAATAAAAGCAGCCTACACCAAGTGAGGATGCACAGAAAGCCTAAGGCGGTCAGATTCCAACCGGCCAATACCCCTCAAAACTGAGTCCTCCATACTCCACCTGGCAGCCTCAGTGGCCACCCCAATGCAGAAGGAGTGCGAAGAGTAGCTACCGCATCATAAATTGCAGCCAACAGGCAGCGCCAAAAAACACAGAGACAAACTGAAAGGTGGACAAGGCTGAACCATCTTAGTGCATAAGGAAGGAACCCTCACGCTGCGGCCGGAAATGGAAATAATCCTCAACAGCGGAAACTGGGCAGAGAGGAGAACCCCACACTTTGTAGAGGCATACCCCTGCCCAGCTGATTTAGTCTTGGAACGTCGAACAAAGATGTGCAACAATAGACCACCCTGCCCAGCCTTAGAAGGGCTGACCAACTTGCTGATACGGAGAGCCCCATAGAACGCCAACACAAACGCCGTCCGAAACAACAGGGCTTCATAACGAGAGGAGAAGACCAAATAAACTCAACCCAAAAACTCCTGCAATATACCGAAGGTAACAGGATGGTGACCGTCCAACCTGCAGCAACCCCTCTGATAACTCCGCAGAGCCTGCCGGACCACGAAATCCTTAGTGACATCCAGCCCGAGAATTTGAACAAGAAGGCCAACCCTGCCAATTTCCGATTGATGACCAAGATCGACACACCCCGCTCAAAGTTCAAGCAGATAAAGTACAAGAAAAGGGGGCAAAGATCCACACCCCCTAAATCTACACCAACATGCGAAAGAAGGTCCCTCCATTCGCGCCACACCCTAGAATATGCAGACCAAGTAGACCCACTCAAGGAATTCCGGAGCAAGCTTGTGGTGACTTCAAAGCAATTTGCCACAGCAGCTGAGGACAGGGAAGTCCGCGTTGCTCTGCAGCCGACGCTAACTCACAAAACCTGTCCAGGTGAAACCGAATCAAAGAATCAGCCAATGAGTTAGTAGTCACTGGCAAATGTACAGCATACAAAAACACATTCAACTGCAAACGCCGCAAAACTAAGTGACACAACAACAAACGGCACGGAACCTGCACTACCCCCATATTATTGCAGTGTAGATGGACTTTTTAATCTTGGAAAGAATACCCCTAAAGTTAAACAAAATGTATTAGGTTCTTTTTTAGCGATGAGACTCAACAGAGAGACCACAAAATCATCCAGCGGAGGGTGAGAGAATGGGCCGGCCATGTGGCCCAAAACAACTTCCTGGCAAGTTTGTCGGAAACCACATCCGGATGTAACCGAGTCGGACGCAGATTGTCCGCCATAGGGGGAATATGAGCCAGCGAGCAAGGAATAACAAAACCAACCAAAAAAAACAGATGCCAGCAACTGGGCAGCAGCCTGATCTGGATACCTAATTAGGAAAGGCAGCATCCTTGCCACCCTCACCGGCATCAACCCTCTTACTTGAAGTGTCTCTGTGACAGCCCTTACCCTGTTTAAAGCAGCAAACGAAGGCGTGGGCGCCAGCACAACGGGAACAGTCATGCCAGAATCAACAGGCGGCACCAAAGCAGCACATACCTTTGTTAAATTGCCAGCAATATCCCTGAAGCTTAGCAGCAGACTGCCCAAGGGTACTTGGACTGGTCGCCCCGGTCAGAAAAAAGGACAAGGACGCCCGCGCCGAAATCAACTTCATTCGCAGGCTAATGTCCTTATGATCCAAACACAAAGGTGGACAGACGGCCTTAAGTTGCCGAAACTGCTCATTGTACTGCACATTTGCAGAAGAGGACCTCTGGCCGGCATCCACCGAGGAAGCTGTCCCACGCCTAGCTGCCCCCTCCGACCAGAGCCTCACCTCACCTCACAGGGGCAGCCACAAGGTTTCAACTCCTGTGATGACCAGGTGGGACCTGGGACACAGGGAAAGGAGGGTCCCACCTGGAGGAGCTCTGTCGGTGGTGACGATTCCTCTCAGGCCATGCACCGGAAGCCACTGGAGAGGGCTGCGGTGATGGGCTCCCTTGATGGCGCTGAGCTCCAGGGACATAGAGTGGCTGAAATGCTCCGGAGGCTGAGACCTCCAAGCATGTGGAAGAGGCCACATTCTCTCCACTGAGCAAGAAGAAAACATGACTTTGCAGGCAGTCTGGTCCCCTGGAGGTGGCTGCCAACCTCAGTTGGCCCAAAAGGGAATCCAGATCGCCCATGACGGAGGGAGCCAGGAAGATTCCTACTCGTCCGCTGCTCCCAAGGATTTACTTAATCTAAAACAAAAACATTTTTGGCTGTAATTAGGCTGTAAAAATGGTCACATCTTGATATACTGCATAGGTTTACTAAACATAACCAGTGTTGTAAGCCTACAATTTGCAACCAACTAGCTTAAAGCGAAGTTCCACCCTAAAGGGGAAGTTCCGCTTTATGGCCTTGTCCCCTGTTAAGGATTGGCATCTTTGGGGAGCTTGGCAGGTAACTGCTCTCATTTCTGCTGCGATCGCCTAGGTGATTGGAAGTGGAAGTTGTCCCCCCCTCCCCATAGTCTCCTGGGACACGTGACAGGTCTCAGAAGACTACGGGACCACACACAAGGTTCAGCGATACTCGCACATATGCAGCGGGCACCTGGCTGTGAAGCCACAACTGTCACAGCCGCGTGCCCACACTTAGATGTCATCAGGGGACGGCCGGTGAAATCGACTGGGGTGAGTGATTTCGAGGGACAGGTGAGTGTCTATTTTTTAAAAGTCAGGAGCTACAGTTTTGTAGCTGCTGACTTTTATTTTTTTACATTTTGACTGGACAACCACTTTAAAGTCGTTTTTGGACCATATGAACATTTCAGTTTTCCAACAGGATTGTGCTGAATTTGTTACCTTCAAATGCAGTTTGTATAACGCAGGGGGCAGGTTCCTGGGGACGTACTTCAGGAAGTTGCTGGACATGATAAGGATCTCCACGTTGTTTGATTGGTTGAACATGTTGTCAGGTAGCCCAGCGTCTGTCAGTTTATTGTTGTGCAGATATACGGACCTGGTGAGAAAGATCATGCCATCGTTTTCAAGGCCATTCTGCTGTACACTGCAATAGAAAGGTCTGCATTTCTTGTTCTTATGAGATATTCCATTAGCCCATCTAAAATGTCAAATTGCAAAGAGACATTTCAAGACTGCAGTGCTGGAGCGGAGGAGAGTTAGGAGAAACGAGCGACTGGAAATGTCAATATGCAGTATGCTGTCTTCTATTACAGTGGACTGCGACCTCCCAGGGTCCCTTCAAAGATTAGTTTAGTGGGTTTAGGTAAAGTCCATATTCAAGTGGGTGTAAAATTTAGGTAATTCATAATAAATACCAAAACAAAAAACTATATAAAGTGAGCGTTATGAGAAAGGAATATGAAAAGCAGCTAGCACAAATGTTGAACCTACTCCATATCACAATAAACATAATAAAAGTCACAAGACTGCTCTAACTTCTGATGAGAAAAGGTATTTAGCAGTTTAACCAGTGCTCGGCCGGACACTGATAGAAGCCACAAGACTGCTCTAACTTCTGATGAGAAAAGGTATTTAGCAGTTTATATTTACTAAAATAATTGCATTTCCATGTTCTGTGTACTGTGGGGGACCAGATATAGTGAATGCAGGGTCCTGGGTTTAGTAATACTTTAAGGAAAAGAGTCTTATTTAGGATTACCATGGAAGCAAAGCATATTTCTTACAAGACCAATTCTCCTTAGACTTTATATAATGCAGATGTCTTTTTTTGCTCTTTTACATATGAGGAATGTTTCCTGTTATAAACACCACCCATATGCTTTTCAGCAGATTTATAGGAAATGGCTGCTATTAATAAAAATAGAATATTTTCAATAATGCAAATCTTTGGCACTGCTGACGTTAAACATGTACGTTTATATCAGGTCACAATGTAAGCCCAAATCAAAGTGTACATTAGTTATAAAACCATTATAGTTATATTAAAGCAGAACCACATAGTTGTGGGTCCCAATGGCTGTTTTTTGAATCAGTAAGACCCCAATTTATTTCAATCCAGTTACGGATATGTCAATTCTGTCAGGTTTTTACTGCTATTTGGGGGCCACATTGGCAACATTTCACTAGACAGTAAGTGAAAGTAACTCTCCGGCAGCAACATTGACAGAATTAATTTTTTAGTAGAGTAGGGGAAGTGTTGTAAGTAATTGTCGCACATTGAGTGGCTCCAAGTGCATTGAGAGAGGAGAGGGCTCTATGACTAAGCCGCAGTGGTGGGACGACATGCATCAGAGGATGTGGCTTATCAGAAGGAGTTGGGGTTGAGGCCACTTTCCACTCTACATAGACTCGGAGCTGCTTGGTGTGCAGCGTTTACTTACAACACATCACACTGCTTCATTGGATTGGAATATATGCCATCACCCCATTTGCACTGAAGTGTCAGGGCCACAACATCAGTGCTTAGAGCGGCACTCCATCAAGTACATACTAGGTCACAGTAGAGTAGGGGTAGGTTTTATTTTTAAAAATATATAAGGCAATCTGGTGTAGAAGACCGTCCACATCCAATGGGTAGTATACCAATAACTAGGCATCCATGTGAAAATTAAATGAAGGTGTCGGTTATGCCCTTGCAGCAGCACTCCATGGGAGAGAAGCCAAAGCTCTAATAGAGGACAGAAGAGAAAGGAGGCGGCATCCAAGTGCAATAAGCAAGATACTTTATTCTGACACAAAGGTAAAACACACAGAAGCATGATGAGAAAAGGCCCAGTCAGTCCCATAAGATGCCACCTAATTCCTCCTGTGAGAGATGCAGTGCTCAAGCTGTGCACCAACCAGTGGTGCTGAGCAGTCAATGGGCACCAGGAGCTTCCGGAGCCATGTTGGCTCCTTGCCCTTGCATGGTCTATGATCTCCTGTGTGTTCCTGCCTGTGTTCCTGTGTACAACACGGTCTGGCCGACTTTTCTTCTGATTCCTGTTCCTGATTTTTGCTCCTGACTACACTGACTTCTTTTTTCCTGACCCCAGCTCATCTGATTACCTGCTCCTGCATCCAAACCCTGGCTTCTGTTTTGACTACATTCCTGAAATGTGTTATTTTTGTTATTTCATTAAAGGTGTGATATTGGGGGGGGCGTGGCTGGGATGTGAACCAGGGAGGATGTGTTCTCCTGAGGCTCCAACTATCCTGCTCTTTTATCCTGTTTGGGGGGAGTGCCTAGTCATCGTGCTGCTCAGCCAACCACGCAGCTCTGCCTAGGGACCTGAGCCCTCTTTGCCCGTGCAATCCCAAAAGACACCGGCAAAGAAATACCCCTTTACTGGGTCTTGGAGGTCCCCTCTTACTACATGTGGCATGGCCATCTTGCCTACACGTGTGCCAATCGGACTCTGAGTGGCGGTGCAGAATGCCTGGAGGGACATGATGGACGGGGATGCTGAGGCTAGGGATGTGTACCCCTCTCCTGCGGAGGCTCCCCCTGGGGATTTCGCTACTTTACTATCCTGGCAGCCATAGAGGCAAGTAAATCATCCCACATGTTTAAGATACCCTCTTTGGCACTAGAATGTGGGCTTATCAGAAAAGACCTGGAGAAGATTAGGGGCTGCCTGGGCACTGCGGAAACCCGTATTTCTGAGGTTGAAGATACCATCTCTTCTCCCTGTCTAACTTACAGTGCACGATTACTCTCCTCATGGCCCACTCTGATGATGCTGAAAACAGATTGTGCCAGAATAATGTATGAGTGGTGGGCCTGCCTGAGGGTGCTGAAGGGGACAATCCTGCTGTCTTTTCCGAGGGCTTTTTTAGGCAAGTGCTAAATTTGCAATCGGTCTCCCCAGTCTACCAGGTGGAATGGGCACATAAAGTTGCAATGAGATCCAGGACCCTTGGGGGCCTCCCACGCTCCTTACCCTATCCGTTTGCTGAATTTCCAGGAACCAGATCTCATCTTGGCGGAGGCAAGAAAACAAAAATCCCTGAGGTTTGAAAATGCTGATCTGCACTTTTTCCCTGATTTTTCACTTGAGCTGCAAAAACGTCGCAGATCCTTTGTTGATGTCCAGAAGGGGCTCAGGGAGAGGGATCTTCAATACAGTATGTTGTACCCCAGCAAGCTTCGGGTTCAATATAAGTGTACCAATCACTATTTTGATACCCCTGCTTCTGCGGTGGACTGGTTAGACTCCCTTTCCTGATTGAAAGTTTACAAGTGTGCCTAGTGTTTTCTTTTCTCCAAGGATGTGGTCAGTAAGATGTTCTCCTTTTTATCCTCCACCCATTTTGCCATGTGGCCTCGGTTCATGGACTGATGTAACGAGGTTGGTTCTACATTCCCTTCCTTCCACCATTGCCACGACCCCTTCTATTCTAGACTGTGTTCTTCTATTGTTGTGACTTAGATGACGTTCAGAGCACATTTTATGCCCAATTCATGCAAAACTCCATATAATCCCAATGGGTTCACATACTTTTTCTTGCAACTGTATTTCAGCCATTAAGGCCGCAAGAGTAAGTCATAATGGTGCATTCAAATTGTTGGACATGGAGGTTACTTGTGCTCAACTCCATGCTGCCAACTTATCCCCAGCCACCTTGGTGGAGCTCCCAACAGGCTAGGAGATATGTATCCATACAGTACCAAAACCTGATGCAATGTATTGCTCAACGGAGTGCTGAACATCTCTTTGAAAAAAAGGTGATAAAACTGATAAATAGTTAGCCCTGTTGACAGATGATGCTTATGTTCCTACTCTTATACCATGTTTTTATTCATAAAATGGTACACTTCAAATCTCGGGTGAGGGAGTCCTCCAGGCATTTGCAGACTATTATAGTAATTTATAATCCCCTATACCAGTGTATGGCAGAGCCGCCCTGGATATCTTCCAGGCAGATCTCCCACTCTCCACTCTCACAGAAGACCTGTCTGGATGCTCTGTTCTCAGTTGAGATATTCAATGCCATTGCCTCCTTTCCTAACTGTAAATCGCTGGGCCCTGATGGGCTTCCAAAAGAATGGTACAAGCATTACATGGATGATTTATCACTCAGGCTGCACCGCCTCTATGAGGACTGTTTGTGCAATAAATGTCTGCCACAGTCCTTTTATGAGGCTCATGTGGTCCTATTGGCCAAACCTGTTAAGGATTCCCTGCAATGTGCTTCTTTTGAATACGGATTTCAAAATATTCACTAAAATTCTAGCTACCAGAATATCCACAGTATTACATTTATTGGTGTCCTCTGATCAAACCGGCTTTATGCCACTCAAAGCGACTGATATCAGCTTGAGAAGGATTTTTACACACACAGAGTTGCATCATGAGGGCCTGGATATGCATGCTCTGGTCTTTTTGGACCTAGGGAAAGCATTTGATACTGTGGACTGGGGTTATATGAGGGAGGTCCTGGCCCATAAGGGTTTTGGAGAGGTATTTCTCAGATGGATTGGCTTGCTTTATGACCATCCAGTAGCAGCCATTAAGTCAGGAGGTAGAATATCAGCTTCCTTTTCTGTCGGCAGAGGCACGAGACAAGGTTGTCCATTGTCACCCAATCTTTTTGCCCTGATGATGGAACCTATTGCAATGGCCCTGAGGACTTCCCCCTTGGTGTGGGTCATTCGGGTAGGCAGTTTGCTTGAAAAGACAGCATTATATATGATGATGATGTAGTACTTTTTCTCGATGATCCTGTAGTCTCCTTACCTGCTACCTTGAACATTTTAGATTATGCGACCTCATTTTCTGGGCTGAAGGTGAATTGGCACAAGTCTCAAGTACTACCATTGGGTAGGGACCTCTGTCAGCCTCCGGCTGCTACTTCGGCCCTCTCGTGGGTGACCTAGGTTAAATACTTGAGGCTACATATTACTAGGTCAGTTTCTGATTTTATTAGGCTGAATGTCACGCCCATAGTTTCTCTACCTAAACATAAAATCAATGCCTGGAGGAATCTCCCTCTCTCCATGACAGGGAAAATGAATCTGCTCAAAATGAAATTTCTCCCTGTCTTGCTTTCTGTCATACGTAACTCACCAGTTTGGATTCTCAAATCTATTTTTCAGTCTATACATAGCCTGATCTCTGACTTCATTTGGCAGGGGGGCCCTCATAGGCTCAGGCTGGCAGTACTGCAACAACCATTTAAGGAGGGGGGAATGGTGGTCCCGGATTTTCATAAATATTTCCTAGCGGGGCAGTTGGTGTTTGCACATAGATGGCTCGAAAACCTCTTGATGATGCAGCGGTTGCTGTGGAGGCAGCCATAGTGGGTTCCTAAGAAGCCTTAACACACTTGGTTCATCGAGGTTGCAAATTCCCTCACCTCCAGACTGTGTCTATAAGAGCTGTGTTGTGGGCATGGATGACAGCGCGTGGGAGTGACCCTGGAGGATCATTTAGCCCATTTTTTTACTTATGAGGATCCAAGAGTGTGAACACACTATGGGATCAAGACTTTTGGGGATATAGTACACAATGGGGTCCTGCAATCCTTTGATGAGTTGAAAGCTATACAGCGCCTACCAAATACGCATTTCTTTAGGTTCCTACAACTCAGACATGCATATCAATCACAGTTTTTTTGGAGGGCTCCCGTCGAATTGTCCCTTCAGACATAGAAACTATGCTACAAGATGAAGATCTACTCAAACCCTTGTCTACTGCAGTGTTTCTCAACCTTTTTCCAGTCAAGGCACCTTTTAAAATTATGGACAATCCCGAGGCACCCTTTAAAATTATGGACAGTCTTGAGGCACCCCATTCAAAAATGGGGTACCTCAAGACTGTCCATAATTTTAAAAGGGCACCCCATTCTAAAATGTGAAAAAACTATTCTAATAGTTTTATATAACGCAGCAACATCCACACATGTAGGACACCCAACATTAGAGGTGATTTATTCTTCCAAAGCAAATACACTTTTGCACACTGGTACTGACTAGTATTCCATTGTTTCTCTTCCTCCTCAGTTTTTCTCCATCACTGAGCTAATGCTAGCCAAACTAGGATGCTGTGCAGGCCGCTGACATTCTCCTTATCAACTGATGATGTCATTGGTTGTCAGGATGCCAGCAGCTAGAAGGTCGTAATGGTACACAATGAAAACCTGTGACTTTGTGTAGCTAAAAGGCAGGCTTGTTCCACTCGCTGGCATGGATACAAGTTTTGGGCAATTTTTAGATATTTTGCCAAGGCACCCCAGGGTGCCTGGGCACCCTGGTTGAGAAAGACTGGTCTACTATATATAAGTCCCTGTTTCCTCCCACTCATAGCTTACTCACTAAATGTATGACCAGCTGGGAGGCAGTGGTTCCCAATCTTGATACAGAGGATTGGGAGGATATTTGAGATGCCCCCTTTGTCAGGCTCATTTCTACTCAAGATCAGCATATACATTACAAATTTGTTCACCGTATTTATCTGCCTCCTGCTAGGCTAGCTAAAATATTTGGTAACGACTCATCCTCCTGCTGGCATTGCTCAGTCTCTGGGGCCGATTTTATGCATGTTTTCTGGGACTTCCCTGCCATACAGCAATACTGGTCTGGAGTACTTCAGTGTGTCCAGTCAGTCACTAATATACCCCTTAATTTGTATGTACGGCATTGTCTCCTGAGTTTGGTGGATAACTTGGCCCCAACTAAGGCCATTTGAACTTTTCTCGCTCTCCTTTTTTATTATGCACGTAAACTTATTGTACTGTCCTGGATGAAACCCGAGGCTCCAACTGTTGCAGCTTGGAAAGCTCTTCTAAATAAGGCCCTCGTATTATATAAGGCCACTTCTGCTAACAGAGGGGTACCCCATAAATTTGATAAAGTCTGGGGTGGCTGGGTTGCTTCACTGCTTTCAGTGGCAAATTGAGTAGTACTGAAATTTGGTTCCCATAATAATTATATTGGATTGTTCATGTATACTGCTTAGCGGTCTTGTTGGCCAGTGGATTCCTGTTCCTGGACTATGTGACCATATGCCCTTATCTGCCGAAATGGTGTGGAGAGTGTTTCTTTGTAACTTGTAGGATGTATGTGTTTTTGGGTAGGGGGATGTCTTATTTCTCCTTAATGTATATGTATACTGATGTTCCCTGCACACTCAGGCACGGTTTTCCTCTCTTTCATATTTTTTATTTATGTTGTGTAATTGGATGACTACCTAGCTTGTTGGCCATAGCCATAGCTTGTTTTTTTTTTGTTGTTAATCTGTATGTTTTCTTGAAAATTACTAATAAAGAGAATTTTACAAAAAAAAAAGGTGTGATATTAACTATGCTTTCTGTCTCCTCCTGGTTTATGGTTCCTGACACTAACCAACTAATTACCTAAATAACTAAATCAATACTGTACAGGTCACTTTTTGAAAGGCTTTTGTATACGAATATATAGCAATTTTACATTCCTTGTTTCTCACCGAAGATTTGGTTTATGCCCAAAAGTCATTCCGTAGATTTTAGTTATATAATTGGCTGCAAAGTCTGCACTCATCAGTGAGTTTGGGAGGAAGCGAGGTGCCAGAGTTATCTAAAAATGAAAAGAAAGAATAGTTACAAAAATGTAAAAAATTATACATACATTTTAATTGCTGTTTATTCACCTTTGGATAAAGTTTTTTGAGAGAAGTGTAATACTTTCACTGAACAAAAATAGTTTCTTCCTATTTGTGGTAACATATATAGTATATTTTAATATAGGTGCGGGAGATGGCCTGTCTAGGTAGATGATGAGTTAAACAGGCTCCAAGTGCAGTCAGATTCTTACACTGAGCTTACAAGCTGTAAAGTAAGAGACAAATCCCGGCCCCACTACTGCTAAGCTGCTGAGCTTCAGCCTGGAACTCCTTTTGGCCAAACATAACACGGGTTGGAAAAAGGAATTGTTGGAAGGAGGCTGCAATGCACATCCCAACTTGTTATCTGGCCTAAATCTCTGCATGGATGTGGAGCCAGGCGTCTGAATTGTGAATTCACTAGAAAACCTCCCACTCTTCTGAGCTTTCTGTAACTCAGTTCATTCTTTACAACCTCAGCACAGAATTGAAGGTTCGCAATACAGTGAGTACAAGCCTATCAACATTTACTACAAAGAGTAACTCCACTTTTGTTGAGAAAAAAACAATCCCCTCTGGGTGACCAATGTACATTGGAGGGATTTTAAACAAACTTTGTTCCTAATTGATTTGTAGCAGATTCCTAATAATTCCTAATAATTCACACGGATGTTCCGATTGGGTCCACCTGCCCTTTTTTCAGGCGAACCCAATTGGATTCTCCATTCACCTCTGTGCAGCAGCTGGTGTAAATGGACATGTGTCTGTCTGTCTTTGTTGTACTGTGCCATGTATTGTCCCCCCCCTATTGTACAGCGCTGAGCAAACCCTTTGGCGCTATATAAACTCGTAGTAATAATAATAATAATAATGTGTCTATTTACATCCGCCAACATTCGATCCGACTTGCAAAAAACGGATGGATGGGTATCAAATTCCCATTCTGTCTGTCGGATTGGGTCGGATGGAAATGGACAGGCAGACCGTTTTCATCCGACCGCTCATTGAGGAGAGCGAGCTGCTGTGTGTTCGCACTGCAGCAGTGGAGCGGACACAGGCCTATCATCATCTTGCTCAGTGGAGAGATCCCCTGCTGAGCAAGCAGATCTGCTAAACGGGCCCACCCCATGTGAAAGGACACTGAATAGGAGTGACTAATTCATTATGAGCAGCTGATGAATTTGCAGTGTTCTAAGGATGAAAGTTTTAGTTTCTGCATCTGTTTGTAAGTGAAAACCCTTACGGTGTATCACCAAAAATCACATTTTTGCTGCAGAGGATGTATCTTAAAACAGAGCAGAACTTTTCACCCATGCAGAAAATTACATATTTGGAGGCATAATTGGTGTATGTTAAAGAACACCTCCAGTTTGCCATATTGTGTTCAATTTTATAGAAAATGACAACATTACAGTGCTGCAGATTGAGAAGAAAAGGTAATTTTTAATAACATTAAATTACAATATGGCTTGAGTATCAATAGTATATGCTATAATAATATTCATTTTTTTTGCTTTTTTTTTCTCTCCATGAAAGTGCAGTTACCCTTTAAAGGTCTGTCCCTAGACCATTCATTTCAAAGAAATCCAAAAACAAATATACAGTTGCATGTGCATTTAATGTATTTTATGCATGCTATTCACCCCTAAAGCCTGAGACTGCTATTGGGCGCCGCATCTTGGATGTGATGTAGATAGTATCATCCTTTACTCCTCCCATGACAGCTACAGGAAAAGTTATGTGGGGAAGCCAGTGTCACATGAGGTCCTCTGGGACCCAAAGCAAGTGGCTTCACCTCAGCTAAGCATTACTAAAACTAACACATATCCTAAACATTTACATATAAAAAAGAAAAAAGGAAGGGAAATGAAAAAAGCAGCTAATAAAAATAAAAAGTGTTAACTAAGGGTTAACAAATCTTAGGGTTCAACATTTTATTCTGATCCTTTCCTTTTTATCAAGGGTCTACAATCATGTTTCCTGTACAAAGTATTCTTTTTAATTGGTGCTACAAAAATGAACAAATGGGAATTTAAAAAGTTTACATGCAAAAGATTAAAAAAATAAGGGAAGGGAATGAAATAATTAATAAAAACAGAAAGGGTCAACTAAAATATTTTTTTTTTTTTTTTTTTTATGGCTTTTAACTTGTGGAACAAGTACAAATATCACAATAGACAGCACAGAACAGTAAAAACAAAAAACAAAAATTACTCTAGCACCAGTGGCTACAATAACATTGCTAGTAGTTTGTCCTATAGGCAATAAGCACAAAATCATACAGGATTGCATTCACTATATGTGGTCTCCTACAATACACAGAACATGGGAATGCAATTATTTTAGCAAACATAAACTGCTAAATACCTTTTCTCATTAGCAGTTAGAGCAAAATCAAATCTCCTACAAGCTTTAACCAGTGCTCAGCTGGACACTGATAGAAGTCACAAGACTGCTCTGACTCTCCTATGAGACTGCATAACCCCTGACCCTCTGTAGAGGGAGCTATTACATGTAAGGATGATGGGGGTTGTGCTAAGCAATTGACTGTTCCTGTAGTAGTCACATTTATTATATAGTTCCATGCACATTGCAAGAAAATAAAAATAATTCATGCAAAAGGTAAGCATTTAAAGTGGTTGTAAAGGCTCAGGTTTTTTACCTTCATGCATTCTATGCAACAGCCCCCCTAAGTCCTCACCTAAGCCCCCTCTCAATCCAATGATGTGCACTGGAGTTTTGGCTTTCCCGGGACTCACTCTTCTCATTGGCTAAGGCAGAAACAATCACAGCCAGTGAGCCAATGAGAAGACAGAGGGGGCGGGGCTAAGCCTCCACTCCATGTGTGAATGGACACACAGAGCAGCAGGTGCCCCCATAGCAAGCTGCTTGCTGTGGGGGCACCTGACAGGAAGGAGGGGCCAAGAGAGCCTGTGGGGGACCCAAGAAGAGGAGGATCCTGGCTGCTCTGTGCAAAACCACTACACACAGCAAGTAAGTATAGACATGTTTGTTATTTTTTCTTTAAAAAAAATAAGCATTTAGAATCACTTTAAAATACTTGATTTTTATATGCTTTTGCCCAGAAAATGTTTTAAATTGGAGACAGGGCCTCTTTCAACATTTTCACTAAAGATATACACTCACCAGCCACTTTATTAGGTACACCTGTTCAATTGCTTGGTAACACAAATTGCTAATCAGCCAATCACATGGCAGCAACTCAATGCTTTAGGCATCTAGACGTGGTGAAGATTAGTTGCTGAAGTTCAAATCGAGTATCAGATTAAAGAAGAAAGGGAATTTAAGTGACTTTGAACGTGGCATAGTTGTTTTTGCCAGACTGGCTGATCTACTGGGATTATCATGCACAACCATCTCTAGGGTTTACAAAAAGAGAAAATATCCAGTGAGTGGCAGTTGTGTGGATGAAAGTGCCTTGATGAAGTCAGAGGAGAATCCGAGGACAATCAGAGGAGAATAGATACACAGGTTGCTGCGACATTCACATGGTAGGGTCAGAATTTGTCATAAAATAACATGAAAGCATAGATCCATCCTGCCCAGGGGTGGACTGACTATTTGGAAACTCGGGCACTGCCCGAGGGCCCGGGGTCAGTAGGGGGCCCCATGAGATGCCCCTGGTACCTTTTTCATAGGCTTTTTTGAGTTTGGACACAGTCAAGGACACGGGGGCCCCATGATCCCCTATTGCCCGGGGGCCCCATGAGTTGTCAGTCCGCCCCTGATCCTGCCTTGTATCAATGGTTCAGGCTGGTGGTGGTATAATGGTGTGGGGGATATTTTCTTGGCACTAGCAAGGTGTACCTAATAAAGTGTCTGGTGAGTGTTTTCTTTATCATACATATACAATATACACACAAAACAAGCATTTTAATTATATTGAAGAGGTTTGTTAAAGGAGAAGTACAGCCAAAGCTCTTTTGTCTGTACTTCTCCTGTGGATCACAGGAGTGCAGTTCGTTTTGCACTCCTTTGCCCCTTTGTTCAGCTGACACTGTCACTCAGTTGGGGAAAGATCCTGACTTTAAAGTTGGGATCCACCCCAGAGTCTGGAGCAGCACTTGGCTCAGCCCCTCAGTGATCCACTGAGAGTCCTCCCCCTCCACAGCCCAGTGCTCTAGTGAGTGCCGGTGGGCAGAGCAGAGAGCCAGAGACTGACAGTCACCGCTCTCTGCTCTGAGCGTTTGTGAGAACTCTGCAATCAGCGGTCCTGTGATCGATCAGTTCTCACAATTAGAGCCGGACTAATGCTGCATCCACCTAGGTAAAAAAGAAATTAAAAAAACAATCCCACAACTTTTTTTTATTATGCCCTTTTTATCTACAGTAGGTATTTAGTATGAATTGCCTATATTTTAAAATTATTTATGAAATATAATAAAATATTTTATTTTAAAATAATGTATTTTTCTGTGGTTTTTCCTGCAATTTTTCAGGTTGGTGACAGGGTCTTTTTAAAAATGTTCTGCTTCTCCTATTTAGAACTATTTAAGCCCTGGTTAACATCTGTGCGGGACTCGCACAAATACCTGCAGCCGCACCACCAGCACAGAGGATTGCGGGACCCACAGGCAGGTACCATTAATTCTAATTTTGCATTGGAAATTGCAAACCGTACTGGGAAACTCAGTTTCCCGTGTGGGCTGCAATCTCCAAAGTAAATGCAGGAACTTCATCCCTGGAAGTCCTGGGGCACGGGAGTCCAATCAAATTAATAGGCTCTCATGCCCAAGCAAATCGCAGCCCACACGACCGCAGAGATGTGAACCAGGGTAAAGGATGAAAACAAAAAACAGCTTCAGGTTTATTTTCTAAAGCAGCACAAAGAAAAATAGGAGTGGCGTCATAAAATATAGTACGTGATACCGGGTTATCAATCTAATATCAAAGTCAATAACATGTCAGTTTAATTCAGGTGCTATTTAAAGAACAGAGAAGATTGGTTCAGGAA